AAGATAATTTGTATTTTTCAAGGAGTTTGCACCAAAAAAAGAAAAACACCAACTGAAGTGGACCCTTGATTATGACTTCTTGTGTGGCCCCTGTCTAATAGAGGGGCCTTTCAGTCAAGATCTGAATTAAATATCTTGTTCGCATGGTGCATATTTCCCCAAAAATGATTATAATAATTATAATGAGACAAGAAAAATGAAGTGACCAAGACGGTTTGCAGGAGCAACAGTGGCCCAACTACCAGGGTTTTAATCATGGGGCTGTATCCAGATAATCATCACTGTAAACATCACTGTCTCCAAAGAGGTGAACGAGGAAATAAAGCCATGCAGACTTTCATTTACAACATTAAATAACTGTGAATGAAGGAAATAAATGCATTTCATTACATGTTGAATTGACGCGAGTCATGAGCATTAGATCACAGTGTGAGTAAACGGTCGGGTAACGTCTCCCTGAGCCTCGTCATGTCTGTGAGAAAATACTCAGATGATGTCGCAGTAATTCCCTGGACTCTATTTTGATCTATTTTACTTCTTTCTTTATTTTTCAGTTGAGAAATCTTCTAATGCGCTGGTTCCTAATGTTTTTGACCCATGACCCCTGAGAAGATTGTCTCACATCATCAGAAGTTATGATCTGGTGGGAGCATGAAGTGTGAGGTGAATCTGAAACACATATAAATCTAATTTCTCCAGAGAAAAAAAAGACGCGTTTAAATGTTTTGTTTGCTCTTTGAACTGCTAATTATACAAATACACAAGATTGATGTGGATGGATGGAGAGTACTTCAAGTGTCTCTGTGTAAATATTATAGAGCTGAGTGTAGTGTGTGTTTGTGTGTGTGTGTGTGTGTGTGTGTGTGTGAGTCTGTGTGTAAAGTATTGTTTTTGTATGAACTGCTCCGACACTAAGCCCAGAAGAATTTCTCTGTTGGCTTTTCAGACAAGTTCCCACTCGCTGAGCTGCAGGAGCTGAGATCAGACTGGAGGCTGCAGCCGCTGCAGGGATCCGCTCCACCGCAGGGGCCACGGGGGGTGAGGAGGGTGCTCCGGGCCACAGACAACTGACACAGACTGGACTTTATCAGGAAGGGTGATGCGTCTCCGTCAGTGGTGCAGCAGCCTGTCAGTGGTGCAGGGGTCAGTGGTGCAGCAGCAGCAGCAAGTCAGTGGTGCAGGGGTCAGTGGTGCAGCAGCAGCAGCCAGTCAGTGGTGCAGCAGTAGAAGCCAGTCAGTGGTGCAGCAGCAGCAGCCA